TTTTTTTTTTTTTTTTAACAATTGTTGTAAACTTTTAATTAGAAGTACCATATATTATTCAATAAAAATATCAAAGTTACTTAAATATTGTGAATTTTTTATATTGCATAATGTCTTATACTCTTATTCAATATTTTTTATATAGACTTATGCATTTATGTTAATATGTTTTATGTTTTAGACTTTTAGTTTGCAAATTTTAGACTTTTAGTTTGTTCTTTTAATTCTAACCCTTAAAAGTTCAATTCTAATCTTTAATTTTAACCCTTAAAAGTTTGAAAACACTTAAATACTTAACTATCAATAACATTGAAAAAGAAAAATATAAGATAGTTAAAAAAAAAAAACGAAAGCCCGATCCGCCCGAGCCCGCTAGGCCCGAACCCGTACGGGCCCTATAGGACCCAAAAAATCCCAGCCCGCCAGCAGCCCGTTAACTTCAGCCCACTAACAACCCGCCCGTAACCCTAACGGGCTGACCATTTTTGTGTCCAGCCCGTCCCAGCCCGTCCCAGCCCGTCCGATAAACACCTTTAGTTTATTCTCATATTTTCTTGACACGTGTACGGTCTTTGGATCCAAGTGGACAGCCGTCTTCCACTCCCACTTCATTTTCCGTACTCCTCCTCACAAATTCACATTGTGTAGCACTGCTCCGCTTTCCGTATACGGTGCTGCCAAAATTTGGGTTTCTCTTCCATTTCTCAATTCAATTGCTTTGCTGGTAAGTATCGTAGTCTTCTAAAGGTAGCTTTTCTGAGCATATTTTTTATTTGTGTGTTTGTTTTAGATTTCCTTTCTTTCTCTTATTCCGAAGAACCCTCTTTCCATTTTACACAGGTTTAGCCATTATTGCGTCAATGACAGAGTTGTATTCTCACTGTATGGAGACCTGAGAAGGGCTCGATTTCAATTTCTTAAGGGATTTAGTTCAATTTATATTCCATTAATGTTCGTTCCTTTATTACCGACTCCCAAAGAAGGTACCAAATCTGCTTAGGGCTATTCAAGAAATTCCTGTGCCTCTGGCTCTTATGTTAACTGATTCTACTCATGCATTTGAAGAATATGGACAAGAGAGAAAGTAAGTTTCCATCTTGAATAACTATTTCTACTCTTCTAGCTGAACTCTCTGCATTTACCATTAGAATCAAAAACTGTAGTAACGAAAAGGAAAATTTGATAATTTTTTCATTCCATTCCTTTTTTCCATAGGTATTTTATAACTTAAAAGATCTATCATCCATCAATCCAAAGGCCCATTTGTTGGGAATAAACCCTGTAAAAATAATATTTACGGTATTAGTGATAAATGCGGACCACTAAGTTATGGTAAATCAGCAAGAATAAAAATGCAGCAAAAATGACACCAAGATTTTACGTGTAAACTCTTCTGAATAAGGGAAAAAACCACGGCAAAGAAGAGCAACTGATATCACTATAACGAAGAATTTTACATTGTGTAGTAACGAGCACAAATACTCCTAAGACCACTACACCCTCAAAAGAAAAAAAAATACTTTTTTGCTTTTTCCACCTCACTACAATATCTCTCACACTCTATTTTTCTTCACAGGCTATTTTTTTTATAGTTTATGGAATACCTTGCTCTCTATCTTTCACTCAGATGTGTTGTACTCAGATGTGTTGTCTGAGATTTTTTTTGGTGTGTAAGAAATGAGAGCCAAAGCTCTCCTTTTATAAGCAGAACCTCACTCCCTCACGCCTACTACATTTTACATTTTTCTCTCATGCAGATTTGCTATGCCTACCAATCTTGACATTTTTTCTTATGCAGCCTACCATATTTGATAGTGCAAAAGAAAAGATGGTGGCTGCCAATCAAAGAAAGAAAATTATCTTCCTTGATTTATGGGATGGACCCCACAAATCTCCCCCTCCAGTCCCATTCACCTGAAGGAGGTAACACCGGAGATTCTAGTTTGAGCGCATGCCGACAAGTTCTTTGCAAAGCTCGAACTTGTCTCTTGGTACTACCTTGGTCAACATATCTGCAGGATTTTCACTCGTGTGAATCTTTTTGACTTGAAGTGATTCGTTCTCCACTTGCTCACGAATCCAATGATATCTGACGTCGATGTGTTTTGTTCTCGCATGGTACATGGAGTTTTTGCTCATGTCTATTGCACTCTAATTGTCGTAATAGACAACATACTCCATCTGTCGCAATCCAAGTTCTTGAAGAAATCTTTTGATCCATATCATCTCCTTGCCAGTTTCAGCAGCCGCAATATACTCCGCTTTAGTTGTACATAGTGCGACACACTTTTGCAACTTCGATTGCCATGATATAGCTCCCCCTGAAAAAGTAAACAAATATCCAGTAGTGGGTTTTCTGTCACCTGCCATATCAGAATCTGTATAGCCCTTCAGAATTGGATTTGATCCTCCAAAACTTAAGTATTCATGTGAGCTTCCTCTTAGATACTTGAGTATCCATTTTACAACTTTCCAATGCTCTTTTCCTGGATTTTCGAGAAATCTGCTAACAACACCGACTGCAGGAGCAATATCTGGTCGAGTACATACCATTGCATACATCAAACTTCCGACAGCAGAGGAATAAGGAATCTTGGCCATTCTCTCTTTTTCCTCCGTTGTTGTAGGACACATCTTCTTGCTCAACTTCAGATGACCAGGAAGGGGTGTGCGAACCAACTTAACACTTTTCATATTGAAGCGCTCCAGTACACGTTCTATGTACTTCTCCTGTGACAAGTAAAGCTTTCTTTCGTTTCTCGAACGAGTAATTCTCNAATTGTCGTAATAGACAACATACTCCATCTGTCGCAATCCAAGTTCTTGAAGAAATCTTTTGATCCATATCATCTCCTTGCCAGTTTCAGCAGCCGCAATATACTCCGCTTTAGTTGTACATAGTGCGACACACTTTTGCAACTTCGATTGCCATGATATAGCTCCCCCTGAAAAAGTAAACAAATATCCAGTAGTGGGTTTTCTGTCACCTGCCATATCAGAATCTGTATAGCCCTTCAGAATTGGATTTGATCCTCCAAAACTTAAGTATTCATGTGAGCTTCCTCTTAGATACTTGAGTATCCATTTTACAACTTTCCAATGCTCTTTTCCTGGATTTTCGAGAAATCTGCTAACAACACCGACTGCAGGAGCAATATCTGGTCGAGTACATACCATTGCATACATCAAACTTCCGACAGCAGAGGAATAAGGAATCTTGGCCATTCTCTCT